AATTTACAGCATGAAGCTAGGCATGATTTGCATTTATCAGAACCAAAACTTGCTGGAATAAATATAACGTTAAAACAATATAGAAGATGAAACATGTTCGCTTTGATACCCTTGTTGGTGAAATTTGATGGAACGTGTATAAGACAAAACCCAAGATCAGAGAAAGGGTGCCGTGAGGTTGGTGATCGCAGAGCCCAGATTTTTTTATCCCTTCACTTTAGAGAGAGATATACTTTTTTTTCTTGTTATGCACATCCTCTCTCTGGCTTCTCACTTTATAAGGAGAAGAAGGGTAACCGATATATTTCTCTAACGGGCTACGTTCCTTTGGATATGACTGTTGAATGAAGGGTTACATTTATATAGACATGACCGTTGGATATATGGAATTCCCACAAATGTAGACCAAGACAAGTAAGGCTTTATAGCCATAAGTGTCGACACTCCAAGGACTAGGTGGTGGAATTTAAAAAAATAGAAAAATAAACTCTTTTAGGATAAATTAGTTAAAGAAGTAAAATGAAACCCTGAATATAAGGTGAATGTTATGTAAAATGAGATGACTGACTGTATTAACAAAATGGCGAAAGAAGTTTTACGATAAACTGGAGGGAAAAGAAATTCTGATAAGAAAACTTGATAGTGGAGTGATGAGGTTCAGAAGGCAATAAACAAAAAATTATTATGTTATAAAACTGGACAATGTAATAAATATTATTAAAACTTAAAAGAAAATAAAAATACTAAGAATAACGTTAAGCAAATAGTAAGACTAAACTTAAGGAGTATGATTATCTATACAGTAAACTGAAAATAAAAAAAAAGTGAAAAAGATGTTTTCAAATTAGTAAAAATAAAAAAGTGTAGGGATCTAAACCATATTAACTATATTAATAGTGATAATCAAAGGGTCTTAGTGAAGGATGAAGTGTTCGACCAAAGGTTGAGAGTTTATTTTAAAAAATTATTGAATGACAAAGACAATGGAAACACAACCGTTTTAAAATGAAACTTGCTAACTATGTAACAAACAATAAAACGTAGATAAGGAAGATTAGAAAAAAGTTCATATAAGTGTCAGGTTCTAAACAATCAAATTAAGGTGCAACTTAATAATTGATTAAAAAATGTTGTTTCGAAGCTGAAAAACCTTCAATTTGATTATCTCAACCTCAAGATGTATGAACACGAGAAAAACAAGTTTTCAAGTATTGAAAATATTTTATCTTGTAATTTATTATCTAGACCATCGATTTTCATGATTTTCAAGTGTTCATAGATCTGCTCGATCTATGCTATTTTTTAACTTTAAATTTTATTATTAGATATAAAAATAAATTTTCAAGCCGTCATAAAGATTTGTACTATTAAAACACTATATATAGACACCATTTAAAGGTGTGCCCCATTTTGATTGTTTAGAGCTTCGGCCTTATACAAACCACAAAGACCGGAAGTAAATAAGAGGCCCTCTACTATCCTAGACATGAGGGCGTGGGGCCCATTCCTTTGGCAACAATAGTATGAGGAGCACCTAAGACAAGTAGAATTCACCTTTTCCATGTAAAGGACAATTCACCATTTTACAAAAAACAAGGAACTCGTTACTAATTATTAAAGACTAATTATAAAAAATGGGTGCGGTTTGTATAGAGCTGACGTTCTAAACAATCAAATTCGAGCCCACCTTCAAATAGTATCAAAAAATGTGGTTTCAATATTGGAAATCTTTGTGATAGTCTTAAAATATATTTTCATCTTTACTTATAAAATTTAAAGCTTAAAAAATAGTGTAGATTGAGGCGACCTATGAACACTTGAAAATCTTGAAAAATTGACGGTAAAAAAATGCGTTACACGATACACTATTTCCAAAACTCAAAATCCATTTATTTTTGTCATTTCTATGCATCTTGATGTCGAGATGATCAATTTGAGGATAATTAGGCATCAAAACAACTTCTTCTAGTAAAATTTTTGAGAGGGGCTCCAATTTGATGGTTTAGAGCCTCTATATAAACGTTTCCCATAAAAAATACCCCCATTTTTCTAAATATTTAAAAAATACGCATTCTTGAAAATGTACATCCATGACCATTTTGTCGTAGTTTTTATTTTTTCTTTTTTTGGCCTAAAATACAGTATGCTTTTATCATGGGCGTATCAGGTCTGTTAGAGTTGTAATGCGCTCTTGGTGCATCACAGCTCCTTTAGGGCAGATAGCCCAAGTGCACCACGGGAAAGTGCTCGAGAGTCATGGCTTTGTCGAGCTGTGATGGTTCTTCATGGCTCTTGAGCCTTGATGGTCTTCCTCAGTGCCTTGAAGGACCATCATGGTCTTAATGAATGAGCCCTTTGACAATTACGGTCCTCTTAGGATCGTGATTATCCTTTTACATCTCTATGCACCTAGAAAGATTGGGTTGGCATCACGGACCTATTAGGTCCATGAAGGGCATTTCAGGCTCAAAAAAAAAAAAAACGGTAATAGAATGCCATGGACCTAGATTTTAAAAAATTGGGTGTTTTTCAAATTTATAGAAAAAAGGAGACATTTTTTATAATTACCCATTATTAAATTTTAATAAGTGCCAAATTTCTTATTTAAAGGTCCATGAGATGCATAGCATCTAGGAACTGCATGACAAAATGCTAGTCTAATGTAGCATTCATCTGCTATGGCGGGTCCTCTTATAACTCTCAAGCACTAACTCTGAATGGTAAAATCTGTTTTAGTATTCCATTCATCCTCTAAATGCCGCTCTGGTGTCGGATATGAGCCATCCACAAAAGGTTTCTTCTTCTATTTCTTAAACTGAAGTCCTTTTCTACATTAACATTTGAAGTGGGCTCTAATGTGTCCCTCATGATTTAATCAAACAAAGGACGGAGGGTTTAGTGGTCCCGCGTTCCAGATAAAGCATGTAAAAGGTTGGAAGTTTGACTCACCCGGTTCACCTCGGAATTTCCGTTGGTTTTGGACCTTTTGGTGATCAGGCCCGTATTTTAAAAACAATTATATAAAATTCAAAAAAATTAGCGATTTATTTGTATTGTATTTTTAAAAAATTTTTGTATTTTTTTGACAAAAATTGGAAAGTGTTTTGATCATGAATATTTATTTTTATATTTTTCTCAATCTTTTTAAAAATTTCAAAAATATCCTTAACCACAAATCAATTTTTTATTTTTTATTTTTTATTTTTTATTTTTACTGCTTTTTCATTTTATTTGGATGTGTTTTATTTAATCATACTTTAAATACACTTTTCATATATTTTTTTGTATTTTTTTCATTTTTTAACGTGTTTTTTACCAACCGAAACTTGTTCGGCTAGGCCAATTGAACCAGCTAGTTTACCGGTTACACATAACCGATCATTGATCGGTTTCCAAAGCTGATCCGATTTTTCAAACACTGATTTGACCTCAAGAGAGGGTAACTTTCAATGATCATGTGCGTTTGACACGAGCAAAATAGCTCTCTAGGGTCCCTTTGTTTCTCATCCCCACAAGCGAACGAAGGTAGGGCTAGAGCGCAGGCTCTCCAAATATATATTATTGCATTACAAAAAAAATGCAGTCCGAGCCCCCTATGAAGCCCCTATAACGACATATGCTACATGAAATGGCGGTCAAACTTATAAAAACGCTTGTAAGTGGGGCAAGAAATGGCCGTGCACACTTAAAAAATAAGGAAAACCATCTACAACCCTTGGCTCTTAATCTTCCCATTAAAAAACCATTGGTAAGACAAGAACTACTAGATAAGCCCCCAGTTAGATTAGACCAATGTTTCGAAATCTGAGAGTTTTTTATCTAGACGGATGGGAATCGGTTGGTATTGAATTGAATATGGGATGGTATGAGTCCAACTTGGTTTCTCCCTAAAACTCCGACTTTTATATTTTTTTCGTTTTTCTTTTCAAGCTTGTCTAGTATTTTCTCAAGTCTCTTTAAATCCCCACTCCATAAACCCATATTTTAATTTTATTATATTTTTTAGTATTTTTTGGATGGCACCCATTTAGATCGCCGATCTAGTGATTTCAATTTCAAGTGTTTATAGACAAGGCAAATTGACACCAGCTTCAAATATTTGTAATCTTTAGCATAAATAAGTTTTCAAGCCAATTCTTGATGCTACGACTACATTTTTCGGACTCAATTTTTGATGTGTGAGTTCAGTTTTAGGGCTAAGTCCTGGGATTTTTTTTATTTTTTTTAATTTTTTTATTTTTTATTTGGGGGGGGGAGTACAAATCCCGGTCCTCACTTAAAACAAAGTGGCAACCTCCCACTTGAAAGAAAGCACTTCCAAACACAAAACTCCATATACAACACCCCTTCCAATACTTCCCGCAAAGAACCAAAACTCCTCCTCATGGGCCCTGCCCCTGCCCTCTACATATACCAAGGCCCTCCCACAAGCAAACTTGCATCCAACCATGAATCTCCACTACATACCAAATGCTCTATGCTCCCTCTCCTCTCTCATACTCCTCCTTTTCATCTCTTCTATTCCCACCTCCATTGCTCAGCCCCCACAGGTCCTGGTGTGGCCCAAGCCCAGGAACCTCACATGGACTCCCCCCTACTCCTCCATCCTCCTCTCTCCAACCTTCACCATCTCCTACTCCGGCTCCAATCCCTACCTCCAAAACGCCGTCAGCCGCTACCTCCGTCTCATCCTCGCCGAAAAATACACTCCGGTACGCCCCATCCCCTCCAACCTCACCGCCTCCACTCAGCCTCTCCAAACCCTAACCCTCTCTGTCAACGACGAGACCCCCCCGCTGCAACATGGGGTCGACGAATCTTATTCGCTCTCGATTCCCAATGGCACTGCAGTACTGTGGTCGGCCACGGTGTGGGGAGCAATGCGTGGATTGGAGACGGTCTCGCAGTTGGTTTGGGGCGATCCGGCCAGATTACCGGTGGGGCTTGAGATTTGGGATTCCCCTCTGTTTGAGCATAGAGGGGTGATGCTTGATACTTCCAGGAATTACTATGGGATGAGGGAGATATTGAGGACGATCGGGGCGATGAGTGAGAACAAGATGAATTTGTTTCACTGGCACATCACGGATTCGCATTCGTTCCCAATTGTGTTGCCGTCGGTGCCGGAGCTGGCGGAGAAAGGGTCGTATGGGGCGGGGATGCAGTATTCGGCGGAGGAAGTGAGGGGCATCGTGGAGTTTGGGATGAGCCGAGGGGTCAGAGTAGTGCCTGAGATTGACAGTCCGGGTAACCCCTCCACCCCTTTCTTTGCTTTGTGCTTTTCTTTTAAGGGCGAGGGGTTTGTATAAGGGTCGTTTCTTTGCTTTGTGCTTTCCTCTGTAGGGCCGGGGCCGGCGCCGGGGCCGGGGGTTTTTGTATAAGGTGCCCACTTCTTATTTATTTATTTATTTTTTGGGGGCGATGGGATCACTTTTTTTTTTCTTCAACTATATAGGGTTGTCCAAGAGGTTGGAGGTCATTTGGCATTTGGTCCGATGTTTAAAACACTAGACTGCCCTCAAGTTTCACAATTTAATGCCTAAGTATTAGACATCCCCATTTTGGTGGTGTTCCCTTATTTTGGGTTAGTGACGATTTATTTTTTGTTGTTTTCGTTTAAAACCATATCTAATGTTTTTGGGTCAGTGACGATTTATTTTTTGTTGTTTTCGTTTAAAACCATATCTAATGTTTTTGGGTTCGTGACGATTTATTTTTTGTTGTTTTCGTTTAAAACCATATCTAATGTTTCAAACATTAGACTGGCTTTTTTTTTCTTGTCCAATATTTCATACAAGGTTTTTGGCCACAAGAAAAAGTACGAAAAGCTATATTAGACTGTTTAAGAAGTTAAAAAATAAAAATAAAAAAATAATGCTTTATTGTGGTTCAATGTCACAAATATCGGACTGCTTAAAATGTAATAAAAATTTTGAAGTGAGGAGCTGTGCAAAATTTAAGATATCATATTGGACCATTGCAACCTTAATATATAAGTTTAAGGCAATCCGATGTTTCTAATGTCGAAGTGCGAAGATGCCCGATATTTGAGATATTTCTAAAACTCTGGATAGCTCTAAAGTATAACAAAATATAAAAAAAGTAATATGTAATTCACAACCTTCAAATTTTACAAACGTTAATCTTAGACTGAGTTGTAAAAAAGGGATTTATTAACTATATGTAATTTTTTTTTATTTTAGTTATTTTTTTATGATGTATTGCTCATCAGGTAAAAATGTTTGTGTCAATATCATTAAAAGATTTTTTGTTTTTTTTTTTTTTTTGAGAATTGAAAAGACTAGGTATTTTTATTAAAAAAAGTTGATATAAAGTTGCAACTTTAAAATGTAGAATTAAAGATGTACCTAAAAAGCCCATCGGAAAAGGTTATTTTAATATTGAAAAACCCTCTAATTGATCATCTCGATATCAAGATGTATGATATGAAAAAAAAAAAAAAATATTTTGAGTCAAAAAAATAGTGCATCTTGCAATACATTATCTAGACCGCCTATTTTCAAGATTTTCATATATTATAGATCTACTAGATTTTAACTATTTTTGGAGTTTAAAATTTTATAATCAGATATAAAAATAGATTTTCAGATAATCCTAATAATTTTTTACCTCAAAATTACATGTTATGATTAAATTTGAAGGTGCGCCTTAATTGGACTGTTTAAGGTTGCAACATTATAGAAACCACACCCATTTTTATTATTTGTAGGGGTAAAGTAAACTTTTTACTAAAAGACAAGAGTACTCTACAGTTTCAAGATACTAACTTCTAAAATACCATTATACTTTTGTAAAAGTTTCAAATTTATCATTATTTAATGATTAAATTACTTATTTAAATAATTTTTAAATAAAAAATAATGATTTTTTGATAAATACACACATCATAACTCATTCTAACATCAACCTTTACATTTTGACGGATTGTTAACTCTAGAAAACTCAATACAAAAATATCCAACCTGTTCAAAATCTAAAAATATCTTCTTAATGCAAAGGTCAACATATTAAAACAAAAAGAAGTAAAATACAAAAAAAACAAAAGTTTCAGAGTGAGAGCCAGCATAAAGTGAGAGACGTCGATTGTGTCAGAAGAGATTGTTTCGATTTCCAAAAATCTTTAAATTGATTATCTCATTCTCAAGATGTATGAAAATTAGAAAAAAAGAATTTCAAGTTTAGGAAATAGTGCATCTTGTAATGCATCTTTAGGAGCGTCAATTTTCAAGATTATCAAGCGTGTATATATTTTTTTGATCTATACTATTTAAAGTTTATAATTAAAAATGAAAATAAATTTTCAGGCCATCACAAAGATTGCCAATATTGAAACATCTTTCGATGCTATTCTAAGGTATGTCATATTTTGATTGTTTAGGACCTCAGCCTTATACAAACTACATAATTCCTTTTTTGCAAATTTGTTTTAAATTTTAAAACATACAATTTAGATATCTAAATTGGCAAGTTTTAGAATTTCTCACCAAAAGATATCTAAAGTTGGATTTATGTTCTTGGTCAAGAAGTAAATAGGTAACCTCCACAAGTAAGTTTGATGCGTTAATGGTGGGAATGGACGTTAAGTTGAGCCTAGGACAGTCCCAACCCTGTTAGCAAGGGAAGGGCCTTCTAATTGAGGGATGAGCTTCAACCAAAATGCCCCTTCAACTCCATATAGGACACCTTCATCCCTATTTCTTTCACTTCTCCCACTCTCACCTGGCAGATATGCACAAGTAACTGAATTTCCTCAAGAGGGAAACTATAGTCCCCATGACTATTGAAAAGCGCAGGTCACAATTGCCATCATTGTTCACTGTTCAATTGATGGATTTGACCATCACAGGGACCATTCAGTCCTGGATCTCCACCCAAACCATCAATAGATTGTGATGACCCATCCTGACTTTATCATGACCAAGAGAAGATTGTAGAGAACACTTTAACTTAGGGAACATTCGTTTTTGTGGAAGTAATTTTGGGGCCCTGATAAAACTTTCCCCTTTCAGCCTAGGACAGTGGCGTCACACTTGAACAAGTATGAAGCCCCTTTCTCACAAAAGTATATAGAGCAGGGAAGAGCTAGGGAAATACTTTCCTAGTGAATATATTAAGTACTAATTTCCAGAAAACAAATATGGGATAATAGTAGTCCAGTGGGCTTTCGGGAAACAAATATGCCCTTAATGAATTGTCAGATCGAGGTTTCCTTAATCCAACTAAACAAACTCCTCTATGCACAATAATGCCTGACCTCACTACTCATGGACTGCAGGGCATACCGGCTCATGGGCCGCAGCATACCCTGAGATTGTGGCCTGTGCCAACATGTTCTGGTCGCCACCCGGCAAAGACCCACTCGCTGCTGAGCCTGGTACTGGACATCTTAACCCTCTCCACCCTAACACCTATCCTCTCCTCCGCAATGTTCTTCGCGACCTTGCTGCTCTCTTCCCAGACTCCTTCCTCCATGCTGGAGCTGACGAGGTCATCCCTGGCTGCTGGAAGGCTGATCCCAAAATCCAAGCTTTCTTAGCCTCTGGAGGAACTTTGAGCCAACTCCTCGAAACTCATGTTAATGCCACTCAACCTTACATCGAATCTCTCAATCGCACCGCAATTTACTGGGAGGATGTCCTTCTTGACTCCACTATCAATGTGAAGCCTGAGCTACTCTCGAAGGAGACCACAATCTTGCAGTCGTGGAACAATGGACCTAACAACACCAAGCTCATAACATCCATGGGTTATAGAGCAATAGTGTCGTCATCTGCTTTCTACTACTTGGATTGTGGGCATGGTGATTTCTTGGGCAATGACAGTAGCTATGACAAGATGGGTGATGAGGGCAATGGGGGCTCATGGTGCGGTCCTTTCAAAACATGGCAGAGGATTTACGATTATGATATAACTTATGGGTTAACGGCAGAGGAGGCAAAGCTAGTGCTTGGTGGGGAGGTGGCACTGTGGTCGGAGCAAGCTGATGGGACAGTGTTGGATCCTAGACTTTGGCCAAGGACAGCAGCCTTTGCAGAGGCAATGTGGTCAGGGAATCGGGATGAGACAGGGATCAAGAGGTATGCAGAGGCCACTGATCGTCTCAATGAGTGGCGATATCGGATGGTGGCGAGAGGGGTGGGGGCTGAGCCTATCCAGCCACTATGGTGCCTCAAAAACCCCGGGATGTGTAACTTAAGCCAATAGTTTATGGAAGGTGGTGGTGTGTATATTCTCCTTCAATGGATGGGGAGACTTTCGGAGTGTGTACACAGGGCACACCATTTGTGCTGTTTTGAGTTGATTGATGTCTTTATTTAAGATTTGGCTGTGTACGCCCAGTTGCATATAAAATTGTAATGATTTTTATAAAATACTTATATCTCGAATAAACATAAAATTTGTGTTCATTTCCCTTAACTAAACCACAAATGCTATCAGATTTGCTCAAAGGCTTCTTCCGTTTGTTTGGGAGAGAGAAATACTTCCAACATTTCAGCTGATTTATGGAAAGACTTGATTCTCGCTCAGAGAATACATTAGTGGCTGGACTGCCTGCATGCATAGCATGTTATATACTGGGCTTCAACCTACAATTGCTGCTCTTGCCGCAACATCACCCAGTACAACTATCCATGTTCATGTGATCGGTTGCATCGTCTTTCCACTAAGATATATTGCAATTCCTTGAATCAAAAGAGCCTGTAGACTCGCCCAAATTCTATTAGCTTAAGAGCTATGTCTATTCCCAAAAAGATAAATACACTGGCGTTCAGCAAGAGTCTCTTATTGCTGATTGTTGAGCTCAACAGTAACTCATCGTGGATTTTATGTGGGAACGTTGACAAATGATCTATTATTTACTTATTCGGAGACATCTCTCATGTCTGATCCACCAATCCAATATTGATGCAGTACATAATTATCCTAATGTTTATTTAATTTCGAGGGATGTATATTAAATTGTAGTTTTAATTTTTTTTTTAGGGATTAAATAATTCATTTATATTTTTATTTAGTATTAACTAGTTACTATTCATGGATATTGTTTATAGATATTGTTCATGGGTTATTATTCATAGGGGTAAATTTGTTATTATGAATTGTGTTTCCTTTTTGGTAATATCTTTGAATTTTATATTATAATATATAAGAGGTGTGTAAGGCCTTAAGGAGGTCATTCCATGTCATGACCCCGCCCCCTACTGTACTTGGTGGAGGGCGACAGAGTGCGGAATCACGACCAGAGGTCACGAACGTCACTCTAGTGGGAGTGGCTCAATGAATTAAGAAATGCAGAATCAAAGCAAACTACGAAATAAAATAAAAACTGCACAAAATAAAACCATTATATACAATTTCAAGATGTTCTTTACAGTTCTGTCAAAGGCACTACTGGCCTGACAACAAAATGTCAATATTACATCAAAATCACATTGTGGCACTGCCACCAGACCGCTACTATCAAAAGTTCCTTGCCAAATCCTGAACTTCAGCCACCTGCCCACTCTCAAGAATCGGAGGTTATCACTCTACATAGGGAAGAAAAATAAGAGGAATGAGCTAAAGCCCAGTAGATCAGTGCCCTTGCATTCCTACCTACATGCACACTTATAAAAAAATGTAGTCCGCAGATCATCACAGTTCATGCAAGTCATAGAGTAAAATCATGCATAACAATTCATTAGTAGTGTAAAACGGAATATGATTCAAATATCAAGGCAGTACATATTGTATGAGCTAACAATTATTTTACCTCTTATCACAGTAACAGGTCAATACCTAAAAAGAACACACAAAGCAAAGTCTAGAGTTGACTACTCCCGACGTAGAAGTCACATCGATCAGGCCAAGCCAATCCTAAACTTGGAACTTCTACCCTCATTCAGGAGGGAGGACAATGACAAATTGAAGCCCCATTTCGTAATGTCCTCAATCACAGACAATCCCCAACGCGCTTTGGGGTTTTCGATAGGCAGTGGCCTTGCAAGACACGACCTTCTACTTATGCCTTCAAGCGAGAGGATGTTGCACTACCATTGGAGGACCCAATGCGTAGTGCCCATAATAATATGGGGGGCGCGACCCTCCATGTTATTTACAGCCACCTCTCGACTCCATTCTTATCATTGGAGTCGAGGCACTGTCTATCCAACGACTAATGGAAGACCCATTGCGTAGTGGTCATGTCACATATATCAGTCTCAATATAACATAATCACAATATCCAACTACCAATGGAGGACCAATTGCGTAGTGGTCATGTCACATATATTAGTCTCAATATAGCAGAATCACAATATCCAACTACCAATAGAGGACCCATTGCGTAGTGGTCATGTCACGTATATCAGTCTCAATATAACAGAATCACAATATCCAACTACCATCCATTGGTAGTTGGATATTGTGATTCTGTTATATTG